GGTAGACTCAATTAGAATTTCTATGCTTAACGGAAATTATTAGAAATTCATATTGTGTCTATGTCCATGTTCCACATAATCTCATTATGCGAAATACACTCATTCAATATCTCACCATATTAACAGTGTGGATAACACCGTTCCATTCTAAATGGGAATGACATGTATTAATAATGTTTTAATTAAATATTCTAAACTTTAATTAAATTCATTATGAACAATGTTTTTTTTATTATCCTTAAACATTATCCTCTCGTATATAACACTTATATACAATGTTTAAGGTTATATAAATAATCACGGAATTTTCATTTGATATTCATAAAATATTCATAAATATATGCACATAAAATGATGAATAAACTCTTTTATTAATTAAATAATAAATATCCTATTACATCTCATGCTTCTATGACACTATTCCCAACAATGATGTGAAGAGGGTGTGCATGTGTAAGTATTTGACTCGCTGGTGGCGGTTCTAACGTGGCCAAAATACTTAACGGGCCTTCAAAGTAGATGACGACGGTAAGACCTCCAATGGTGGTGTGGTTTGCCTAGGGCCCAAATTAAACCGAAGAACACGTATTCTATGACCCTTTTTGTTGCCAAAATCACGAAAATACTACTATAAAAAAATGTTAGAAAATCTGAAAAATAATAATGAAGGACTTCGTGAATGAAGAATGGTGTGATGAGTGATCATGTAGTTGATGAATGAGCAACTCGAGAGGTGGATAAGGCTTTTTGATGGATAAGGGCTCCAAAAGCAGTTTTCAGGATGTTTTGGAGGCTTTAAGTATGTAGCTTCACTGGTGGATAAAGCGTTGATGGAGAAACATGATATGGAGGAGTCTCATGAAAGAGCTCCGAGGGAAAATGCAGGTCACTCCGAGAGCATGAAGACTGTTTGGAGTACTCCCTCCGACGGTGGACAAGAGTGGCTCTGAGGTTGGAGGCATGAATACTTCCGGGAAAGTGTAAAAGAAACTCTTGAATCACTCAGATGGTGGTGGAAAAGGATTTGGAAAGTGTTCTTAAGGAGTTTCTAAGAAGGTCAACACTTTGAAACTAGTTCCTCAAGAACTTAAAGAAGACTCCAAGTCTTTGTAGCAAAAGACTTGAAGAAAGCACTAAAAGGAAGATGATTTCTCAAGAGTTTCAGCACTCTGATGGTGTTTTCTGATGTGCAGGTGTGTTCTTGGTCTCTTGTTGAAATGAAGAGCTAAATAGGGTATTTATAGGAAGAGATGGGAGTGTTGACAACTGCTCTGACGGATGTCTGAGCACTCATTTTCGTTTTGAGGTAGGCTATTAGAGGCCTTTCTTGGTTTGACAAAGAGATGGTTCAGAAATGGAATGGAAGACTCTAGAGTGGAAGAAACGGCGGCGGGCTGTCGGAGCATTCGCATTCAGAGGAAATGTGTTAGATAGTTTTCCGATTTTGACAAAGAGATTCACCAAAAATGGGATGAAAAGTTTCAGGAAATTTGCTCTAGCAGCATTCTGATGAAGTAAGGCACAAGTAATTCCGATCAGAGCAAAATCCTAGCTACCTTATCGAAGGAGGCAAAATGACACCTTAGAAGTGGAAATACTTGAAGGCTAAGTTCCAAATTTTGGGCTGACGCAAAGTGAACTTAGACTTGAAATCTTTAAGATTGTTTGACTCAACCAAGTGCTCCACAGACTCTCCTTTTTGGGAGGGTCTGATCACATGTCGAACCTTCGTCAAAAATTATTTGTACGAGAATGACCAAGCAACTATTGTACTTGCTCTAACAACAGATTGCTCTGGCACCAGGTTGCTTTGAATGCGCACGAGTGCTCCAAATGGACAATCTGATAAGGAGAAGAGTTGGGAAAGCATGCGTGACACGGAAAGTGCTCCGAGAGGCATGCCTGATCGTGAGAAAAACCTCCGAATGAGCTAAAACTAATGGATTTCTCAAGCTTTTGAGTTGGAGAAAAATTTTAAAGGACCAAGTTTGGGTTTTTGGCCTTTGAAGGGCTAAAATAAAGGATTTTAGGCTTCTAAAGACAAGGGGAAGGCTTTCTTGGGTTGAGTTCTCGATCACACATTCATGTTTAATTTGACTCATTCTGAAAACCCCCAAGTGGGTTTCAAATTGGGTCAAATTAAGGACAAATGGGCCTATGTGATCACTCACGGCCCACCAAACCACAACTTACGGGAGTTCTCCGAGCTGACTTGAGTCCATGAAACGAGCCCAATTACGTCGCAGGATGCAAAAGGTTGGGCCTGGTACGAATTTAGGTATCAACAACGTTCAATATAAAAATAAAATAAAGTCATTTTACTAATTTCATTTTTTTAAGTCGTCATTTTAGAAAATTTCTTTAGGAGGGATTTGGTTTGCAGATAACGGAGAATGTAGTAAATAGTAAATTTTTGAAATTAAATTAAGTAAATAACAGATTTTAAAACTATTTAAAATAAATAGGAGTTTACGTAGTAAATGAAATATTTACCTCGTAAATAGTTCATTTACGACTAATAAAAATGATTTTTTCCATATAAATTTTCTTTTTACGACTGATAAAAAAAAATTTCTATGTAAATCAAGATTTTATAAAATTTTTTACCATATAAATTATTCTTTACCGGTCATAATAAATCATTTACATAAAAAATAATTCATTTATTATATAAACTGTTATTTATTTTAAATAGTTTTAAAATATACTATTTACTTAATTTAATTTTAAAATTTTACTATTTACATCAATTTCTCGCGGAATAATGCAAACAGAGGTAAGTGGCAGGTTGTACCATGCAACCCTGCAAGCTGTAGTAGTTTCTTGCCATGGACCAAGCCTGCAATGACTTGTAAATGTGTCCCAATTTGATCTGTTTGCTTATACTTGTACCCTTTGGCTATTTATTTATTCTTTTACAGTCCCATAAGGAGATTCTGCGACAGGGTAATTCTTGCGGAGATTATACGATGGGCTTTAAAAAACAATGTTACAGACATAGTAGTGCATGGTTTTCAATTATTACATTTTTATGTCGTGCTTTTAATTTCAATTTAATTATGATAGAGTATATGATGTTTTCAAACATGAACGATTAGTCTATTACCAATTTAGAAGCCCCTATGTATATTTTCTTACAATCTCATTAATTTTTGAGAGACGAAAGACAGAGGCAACAAAGGAAACAAACGTCCAATAGTCGGTCAGGATAACAACATGCAAGTCTTTTTTTATTGTCCTTCAGCAAGACCTGTCCTCCAATATGCAGTATAACAGGTCATGTACACATATGTAACATGTACAGATTGAAGTATGATATTATATACTCTTTCAATAATTTTTGCTCAAACAAAACAAAGGCCCTGTTTGTTTCCGTTTTTCACATTTTCCGAGAATGAAAAATTGAAACCGGCAGAAAGAGTGCGTTTAGTGCAACATTTTACCAAAATTGAAAACAAAAACGTTTTTGAATTTTTTCCAAAAATTATCACATTTCTGAAAACGAATTAAACTCGTTTTCATTTTCTCATTTTCATTTTCTCTCTTCTACATTTTCTGTCCTTCACCAATCTCGACATAGTACTCTCAGGCCCTCTTCTTCGTTCCGATCTGCTCTGTGGGAGTCCGGGTAGGAGTAGTTGGAGTACTCCATTAGAAGAAGAAGAAGAAGAAGAACCGAAGAAAGAAGGTGGGTTTTGAAAAGTGGTTATATGTGGGAGAACCGAAGAAAGAGGGCGGGTTTTGGGAAATAGTTTTATGGGGGGTTTTGTTTACTTGATTGATTGATAAGTGTTTTTGAGAAGTGGTTTTATGGGGAAAACAGAAGAAAGATGATGGGTTTTGGAAAGTGATTTTATGGGGGGGTTTTGTTTGTTTGATTGATTGATCAGTGTTTGGAAGCCATGGGAGGTAGGGTTTTGTTGTTGTTTTCTTGCTTTCCGGTGGAATACGACGGAGAGAGAGAATATTGCACAGCGAAGCGGATTTTTGTAATGGGGTGTGATTGAGTGAGAAGGGAAATGATGGAGGTGTAAAAGGAAGACCAATGACTATGAGGAAAATTTTTTTATGGATTTTTGTTGTATTTGGTAAAGTTTTTTTAATTATTAATGTTGATGATAATTAAATTATTATATTAATTATTAGTGTTTTTATTTAGAATTTAATTATTATTTATTTAATATATTATTATTTTAAATACTATTACATGTTTTTAAAAATTAAACCACTAAACGCAGTTTTAATTTTTTTTAAATTGAAATTAATTTCTGAATAAAATTATCAAACACATTTTTAGAAATGATTTCAAAATGAAAATAAAAACATTTTCATTTCTATTTTCATACAGAAAACGAAATCATTTTAAAACGAATTCTAAACGCACCCAAAGTATCATTAATTTTGAAAGGTGTAAAAAAATAAATTCATATTTTAAATCATTTTTTACACCTTCTTAAATATATTATTTTTTACATAGAATAAATCCATATGGCAGTAGAAAGCCCCTCACACATATAATATACACACGGAAAAAACAAAGAGGGTAAGAAAAAAAGAACGCTTCTATTTGTCCTGGGATTTTAACCTCATTTACACATGTCAAAATTTGATAGGCTCGAACTACTTTTAAAAAAAAAATGGAATAAGAATAGGTTTTGAGTACAGTTATAATATTACGCCCTTCACTTTATTGATTCGAGTTTGTAATTCGAGTTGAGATGTGATTTTGTGTGAGAGTTTTTTATTGTAATAAAAAAGTTAAATGTGACTGTTTCTGAGAACTTTTTACTGTAACAAAACTCGAATTCTAAACTCGAATCGACGAAATAAACGGGCCTTAATATTTTGAAAGAAAATATATGGCCATATGTGCACATATATATGTCAAAGTTTGATCTGTCAGTCACTTTCAGCTACAGCACTGGTTTGATGTGTATATGTATGCTACAACGGAGTAGACTGGAATGATTTAGCGGTGTCTAAGAGCTCAATACGGTCATCTAGATCTCTCTCTCTCTCTCTTGATTACTTGATGATTACTTAGTACAAGTGTTCAATTACTTCTTTTCTTTGTTTGGTTAAGCTAGATAGTCTCCGCCTTGTAGGCCGGTTTGTAGATTACGTTTTGCACTTTTTCTCTATTTATTTACTTGGGAGGTTTTGGTTTTGGAGTAACAAAGTAGCCAAAGCTTAGAAAGAGAAGGCAAGTCTCCAGCTTCCAGGAATTCTCTCATTTTTTTTTTCTTCTTTTGTGGATGTGTCCCAACTGGGCTCAATTCAAGTGTTTCAATTGTGTGGTACAAAGCTAAGAGAGAATTTTAAACAATTAATATCCTGTGGAATCTGGTTTAAGTTATTGTTTTTTCAGTTATGAAGAGGTTCAGCAGCCCAGATTCTTTGGGTGCTCTAGTCCCCATTTGCCCACAAAAAGGTAAACATAATTTTCGTTGTTCATGATATGTCTTTATAGATTCAAATTGTAACTCATTTGAGTTCAAACACCCAATGTGCCAAATTTTTTGTATTTGTTCCATTTCTCTTTGATGTTTGGTTGTTTTTAAGTTTCTATTGATTGAATGTATCATTTTATAACAAACCCTTTTCACAGATTCAGAGGAGAAGTATAAAGAGACAGAGAGAGGTTATAGCAAGGAATTTCAGGCCATGTTGGACACTTTAGACCAAGACGATTGTGCAGAAGAATTCACGGGAAAGAAAAGACGATTAAGCTCGGATCAAGTCAAGGCTTTGGAAAAATATTTTGAGGTCGAAAACAAGCTAGAGCCAGAAAGAAAAGCTAAATTGGCAGATGAACTTGGCCTCCAACCAAGACAAGTAGCTATTTGGTTCCAAAATCGCCGAGCCCGTTGGAAGACAAAACAATTGGAGAAAGATTATACCCTCCTTAAAGCTAATTATGATTCTCTTAAGCTTAGCTATGAAAATCTTCAGCAACAAAATGAAGCTCTCTCTAAACAGGTACATAGGAATTTTGTTTTTTTTTATCTTTTTTATTTTGCATTTTGTCTGTTGCAAAATTTCCTCTAACACCAAATGAACGACCTTGAATTCGTAATTCAAATCAAACAAACAACTTGACTAAGAATGTTGTATGAACACTTGCCGTACTGACTGAGTTTTAGTAGTGTGAAGTGTTCGTTTCTTGGTCAAGTTGTCTATTTGATTCGAATTACGAGTACAATGGCATTAATCTGGTTTATCAATCTAGTGTGGGACGAAATTTTACACCGCACATTATACATTTAAACAGAAAACTGAGCTTTCTGAGCATTGTAGGTTGCACAATTGAAAGGCAGAGTGTGCAGAGAGAGTTCAGAGAGCAGTGAATCTGTGAAAGAAGAGTCTCCAGTTTCGGATCACACAAAGAAGAGTGATTCACAAGAGAATAGTACTGAACAGAAAGCAGGGCTTGAAGTTGAAGGATACGGAAATCTTAAGCCCAAATTATCAGATGGGTCATCAGACAGCGATTCCAATGTTGTCGATGTCGTGACAAGAGAAGATCATTGTGGCGAACTGAAATTCTCACTTGGGCTAAATGGGATGTCGTCATCTTCATCTTCATCTTCGAGCTCATTAATGGCGAATTGGTTTCAGTTATCGGATTCCAGAGCTAATTTCCCGGTTAAGATGTGCCAACCTCAGTTCATGAAAGTGGAGGACCAGTACACGAGTCTTTTTGGCTCTGAGGATCAGTCTTGCAATAGTTTCTTTTCGGTTGATCAAGCTCCAACTCTCTATTGGTACTTACCTGAGCAGTGAAAAAATAAAAAAAATAAAAAATAAAAAAAAAATCTGATGAATAAAATTTCGTGCTTTGAAAATTAAGTACAAACGTGTAGTTCGTTAGTAATAATGATGATGCTAAAATCTTAATGTCGATTGTGTTAATTAATGTTATGCTGAGGTGAGTAAAAGTAGCTCTAATCCAAATCAAGTACTACACAATCATTACGGTGCAATAGTTAATGTTGTGCTGCACGGCGGTTTTTCTCATCGTGCATGCAATTTTGAAGCAGTTGTTTAAGTGAGTCCTTTGCATGATAATCAAGTAGTGAGTAATTAATTTCGACTGACGACTCTCTCTCTTTATTAAATTTTGAAAACTCATTAGCTACACGGTAGTCGACCACCTAATTTGAAATTTGTTGTTCTTTTAATTTTGTATATATATTTACTGATCAAATTCATAGTTTGACTATTTAAAAATAAAAAAGTTATATGTCTAGCCCGCTTAAAATCTGAAGTTATATCTCCTTCCCTTCGCTTATTCTTCTCTAGCTCCGCTCCTCATGGGTCTTCTTTTTCTTCTTTTCAAAGGCACTTATTTTATTTCATTTTTTTCAAAGGCAATGAGTTATTCCTTCTACAGATATCAACAAAATATCAAAGCCCCAAATAGCATTAAAATTGAAAAAGAACTCGAGAGGTCTGTGTCATCTGTCCCCTCTTTTATGTTCTTCTCTCTCTCCTTTTTTTTTTTTTTTTGGTGGGGGGGGGGGGGGTTTTGGTTCTGATGCGCACCTATCAGTCCATGTGGTTGGTGAACAAGTACAGACTGATATCGTAGCTACCAGATTAAATTGCAAAACTACTGCCATTGCATAACAGTAAGCATTGTATTTGATGCGCAACTTCTCAAAACAGATACGACGATTAGTTCTTCTGGAAACTGCTAAATCTGACGATCGATTTATTTAATTGATTTAAGTTTAAAATTTAAATTTTATTATAATAAAAAATTTTAAAAATTAATCACATTTAATTTTTTTATTACAGTATAAAATTCTTATATAAAATTATATTTTAATTTAAATTAAAAATTCGAATCAGTGAATTAAACGAACCTTAACTTCTTATAATTAAATAAATAATATAAATTCTACAATTTATATAATAGAAGATATATTTTTAAGTATAACAAGCATATAATCTGAGTTGTTAAATTCTAATATCTGGTTCTAAAAGATTTACAAAACTAAAAGGAATTTAACCTAATGGTTAGAAGTTAGAACCGCTTCTGGATGTGACTTGAGTACCAAAGTGAAGACCGGGTTTACTAAAGCTTAAGCAATTGATGAGCAACGCGGATGATGAAATAGGTAGCAGGCACGTATGTACTCAGACGCAAAAAGCAGAGATTCTGTATTAAGGTAGAGAAAATATGATTACCGATAGAATGTCGTTTTTAATTGTCAGATCAAATCAAAATTATATCAACATGAATGAAGAGAAGATCTGATACGTACGTATGTTGACGGTAAAAAGAATTAAGCTTTACGGAAATTTTTTAATAAGTCTTAAGGAATGAACTATTATAAAACGTCTCAATCTTCAGCTATTAAAAATTATTTTTTTAATTATTTTTTAATCTCACGTGATTTTAATTATATTAAACAATTAAAAATTGAACCTGTCAATAAAAAAGAGACTGTGAAACTTATTTTTAAATTAAAAAGAGAATTAGACAGAAATATTGATATAAAATTCATTGAATGGTAGATTTGCTAGCTAGCTTAAAGCTTTTCCCTTTTGGCGAGCATAGACTAAGGACTCAAAGAGTAGGTTTTGAACTTATGGAGGTGGAAATGACACGAGTCGTTTTCGACTTTTATTCATTTCCACCTTTATTTTCCACTTTAGGTGAGAAAGAAACAGACGAAAAAGCTGCTGTGACTTTCAGCTCCTCCTCCATGTCTCAATCATGTCAGAAGTGGGACCCTCAATTCGTCATCCATCTTTGACTGTTAATGCTCTATGGAATCTAGCTAGCCCTTCTTTGTGCCTTGCCATTGACAGTAATCACCAACCTTTAACTTTGTGCAGTCAGTTCCCAGCAAAATACTGAGAAAAAGAGAGAAATCATAAAAAGAAGAGAACAGGAAAAAAAGGATATATTGTTCCTCATGTAATAGGTGAGTTTGTGAGTACTATTGTGAGTTTTTGTGCAAGTCCTCTCTCATGTGAAAGCAAAATTCACTGGTTTTTAGGTTAGATTTGTTTAATACCAAAAAAAAAAAAAAAAAAAGGTTAGATTTGTTTTGAAATAAGAGTCCAGATTTGAACTCAAGATCGATTCTATACCAACATAATTCATTTTCATTTGCTTGGAGCTATGCAATTCTCTCCTGGTTCCACTAAAACTAGGCAGCACAAGATCTAGAGAGGTACTGAACCTATGTTCAAAAGGACCCCCAATATTTTTTTGTAGTATCCGTTGTTCAACTCATGTCACGGAGCTTTCTACGGTAAAGTATTCGTGTTGGAGCTGTAGATTTCTAAATGTTCAATTTGTTTAATGAATAAAAATAGAAAAAATATGCAAAAACACATAGAATTTTATATAAATCTGACAATTTAAAACGTAGTCATACTCCTAGAGTTTTTTTTTAAGAGCTTCACTGTGAAAATCTCTCCTTTTTTTTTTTTCCTTTCTCATTTCTACTGATTATGGAGTTGACATCAAATATAGTTGCACTCGATCAATCGAAGATTTTCTTCCCACGTCCTCATGTTACGAGTTAGTAGTATTGGTTACTATTGTTAACTAATAAGTATTTTCTTCTTAATTCACATACCAGAAACTACACGCATGGGGTATTATCTCTACAGTTTAAGTCATCTACAGGGAAAACGGGCATATGAGAATCTATATCACATGAGATGGTTGAAATGGACAAGAGAAGCAAAGTGTGGTGGCTTAGAGGTATTAACAAACGACACGGACCAACATCAACTTTGGTCCAATTGTCCAAAACATCATTAGCAGGAAGGCTTTCACAAACTATGCAATTTGATGTGACTTGTTTTATCAATTGTCACTGTAAAATATTGTTTATGAAGCTTTGGAATTAGGAACCATAATATGCTAACTTGATATTTCTTGAATGCAAAAGGGCCTTTCTTTTGGGGTTAGAACTGAATTAGTTTCATACTTTGCCAACAAATTTTGTTTCTCTAGAAATGGAAGATCCCCAGCGATGAAATTGAGTGTAACAAGAGAAAGTTTGTGGGATGAGGTTTGAACTTTGATGCTGACCTAACAACAACACGAGTGCCTATCATGGTCCCAGACTCCCATTGTTTGAAAGATGAAGATATTATTGTTTGGTTGTGGGTTTAACTTTGAGAACGCAAGCTAATATAATACAGTTTTTCTTCTTTTCTTTCTTTTGCAAATTTTGTTCCGTATGAGCGGCATGCACTTTTTCATCGCCATAAGTGAATGATGCACAATATTCATATGCCAATTTAACATGAGAGAATTTCTTAAATCTACGTAGACGTGTGTGGACACACTCAAGACTAAAACGGGTTAATTCAAACACTTAAATTTTTCACAAACACTAAAGCATGCAAGATGTGAAATTTTTTTTTGGAGAAAAAAATTTTCCTTCTCTCGATAATGGGAAATTTGGCCAGCCCCTCTAAGTTAGGTTAAAAATTGTCCGCACAATTTTTCATCATATCTTATTTATAGAGTAGAAGTCCAACTTCTGGAAGGAATCAAATCTCTCTCCTGTTTTAATTTTGAACAAAAATTCTCCTCTACCTTATTCTTGTGTGGCCAGCCACCCTAGGGTTTCCTATCCCTGTGTGTGGCGCCAATTGTAGATAGGGAAGGAAGAAAAAATCATCATTTATCTTGTAGTCCAATTTTAATTCAAATTCAAATTCGAATTTAAGTCAAACTTAAATTAATTTGAATTCTAAATTGAACAACTTATCAAATAAGTTTAAAAGGATAAATTTAAATTATGTTCATGATTCAAATTCAAATTTAAATAATCACATTATTTAAATAATAATTAATTATTTTTTGAGTATTTAATTTTAGAATTCCGTAATTCTAAAATTTCTATTTTGCTCTTTGTGTCTGGTAGAAGTACAAGGACGACGCGGGGACTAATGGACCTATAATCCCGAGCTCCAATAAAATTAATAATTAATTAAACACTTTAATTAATTAATTAATTCTATTAATTTCAATAGTTACTCCACTATAAACTTGGAATTGAACTCTCGAAATTATAGACATTAATTACTTCTAAACTGTGAAATGTCCATTTGATATAGTCATTGCATATAGATCAATCCTCCATAAATAATTCATAATTAGAGCCATGTAGAATCTGTTAACCTCTCTAATTATATCTTCATCCTTGAGTACCATTGATTCTCTAATGGATAGTGATTCATAAAACACATTCATGAACCAGAGCGCTTTTACTAATCCAAGTACCGAATCAACACTCAAGAGAATTGTTTATCTACTTCTTTCTCAAGAAGGAATGGATTCCATCTCGTATAATAACATTCCTGGCTACCTATTTCATCATGTCTCCAAAATACAAGGAATAGGATTTAGGGTCTCAGAATCCGCACCAAGTAAATCAAAAGACACAAATCCATAAATAGGAGTTTGTTAAGAACTCAGGATTAAGATCATTCTATATATGACCATCGGTAGACTCAATTAGAATTTCTATGCTTAACAAAAATTATTAGAAATTCATATTGTGTCTATGTCCCTATTCCACACAATCTCATTATGCAAAATACGCTCATTCAATATCTCACCATATTAACAGTGCGGATAGCACCGTTCCATTCTAAATGAGAATGACATGTATTAATAATGTTTTAATTAAAGATTCTGAACTTTAATTAAATTCATTATGAACAACGTTTTTTATTATTATCCTCTCGTATATAACACTTATATACAATGTTTAAGGTTACATAAATAATCACGGAATTTTCATTTGATATTCATAAAATATTTATAAATATATGCACACAAAATGATGAATAAACTCTTTTATTAATTAAATAATAAATATCCTATTACATCTCATGCTTCTAGGATACTATTCCCAACAATAAGTGAATGATGCACAATATTCATATGCCAATTTAACAAGAGAGAAAACCAAAAATGTCCTTCTTAAAGTAATACTATCTTATTTCTATTACTGTTGTGAATTTATTTTATACCACTAATAATCTGTAATTT